AAGAATGGAATGAACTGAGGTGGAGGGAACTCCCCAATAATATGTGAAATGAACGTCACCGAAGTGACGTGACATTCATGTAGTTGATGACAAATAACCTCGTTTGTTACATCATGATTTCTTATATTACTGCGTTAAAACACTTCACTGAAATGATTTTTATGTCAATAATTGCTTTTTTTCAATATTTTCTTATTATTAATTTACATATTATTACAAGCTTGAAATGTACGTTACCTACTCATATTCTGAGGCAATCGTGTCTTTATAGTGGTGATTGTGACATATAACACAATGTGATTACATGGAGAATCTTTTTTGGAATAAACTGAAACAAAACGATGAATTTTTAGATGAATTTTAAGCTTTTTATTAAACAGAAATATATCTTGAAATGTACGTTATATTTACGTAGTTTTCTAAATCGCCATGGATATATGTTAAAAAAGACAGTAACTACAAAATAGAATTTTACTACATGTACATGTTAAGTTCCAGTATCTATAGAAAATGACAAGATTCCAAACTGATCGCTTTAAACAAAACAGAGAGAAGAATTTAAAGCTTATATTAAAAAATTGTTTTTATATATACATCTGGATCAAAAAGTAACCTTTGTTTTTTGAAAGGAAAAATCAAACGCACGTTCGTATGCCGAGAAAATATGTTACTGACAGAGTTGGTAGGATGTGCTGGTGTTAAGATGAGATATTCCAATTGTGATTTTAATGACATTTTTTTGGACATATCTTTTTGGACATTGAAGAAAGAGTAACGTACATTTCAAGCTACATTTCTGAATAAAATCACCCTCTACTTTACCGTTTTGTCATTGTTCCATGTATTAAAATTTGATGAAAAAAATCTGGAAACAAAATCTTTACATACTTTCTTTCAAAGGTAATTGATAGAAAAATTGTTATCTTAAACATTATTTTTTTAAAAATCAGAGAGGCATTTGTGCCCTTATATTGAAAATGGGTGTTTAATCAAACATAAAAAAATCTAGAGTGAATCATGATCTAAAAAGTAAATACGAATGATTTTCAAAGCAGTACGAATCATTTCATGTCAAATTTTCTTTCATAAAACATTTGGTTACCTTAAAAATCAGGGGATGTGTATGTCATACTTTGTTAACACCCCAGTGTCACTACAGTGTTCGATTTTGGTAAAAGAATCAAACCATCAAGACTTGTAAAGGATCTAAAAAGTAAATACGAATTGTTTTGAACCTCATGATATTTAATTTTTCTTAAAATATCAGTCAGAAAAAGGGTAGATTCCAAGAATCCTTATGTATCTCATAGTATGATTTTCTGAAAATCTGTGACCTCTGACCCCCATTGTGTTTATAGGTAAACCTATTTTAGCTTGTTTTTACCCTGATCATGATTCTTTTGAAATAAAAACTATATCGGCACTCTTTCCTAAGTCCCTTCTCCCTAACCCACATGAGTTTTCCGGGTCTCACCCTCTAAAAAGACTGAAAAGGGTTATTTTATACACTCGGGTCACTGAATTTCACCTCGTCGCTTCGAGGTTTTTTACTTTTTTCTCCACAACGAATGCATGTCATGTATCCATTCTAGTATGAAAAGAAGCAGGAAACTTACCTTGTTTAGACCTGTATCATGCTGGAATCCTACTATGAATACATACTAAATAATCCATGAAAATATATAGGTCCCAAAGTACAAAACACACACAATTTCGGTTCGCCATGAGATTTCGGCTCTCGCCATCCAGGTGCTCTCTTTTCCGTCCGTGCTCTGTGCATAAATACAGACGCTCGCCAGTCGTCGGCGTCATTTGTTAGTTCGGATCTCCGAGACCTTTACAATGGCTGAGGGAAACATCCCAAACTTTTATCTCATTAATGGCGTGGAAGTCCTTGCAGTTTGGATTGTGCGGGACCTTTCAACAGGACGTGAGCTGGCCAGATGGCCGATAGCGACCCTGGGCCATGCAAGTGACATTCCGCGGATGAGACGGCAACAAAGAAGAAGACGGAGGCAACCACGTCGCCCTACCCCTTACAGACAACCACAGGTAGACGAGGGCGAGGCAGCAGACCATGAAGAGCCCCAGGCAGTCACCGGTTACTCGGCTCCATTATCCAGCCCGGAAGCCTTCCGGAATCCGTCACCCCCTCCTACAGTGAACCCTAGGAGCCCGTCCCCCCCTCTACGACCGCCTACCCCGACATGGTCCCCCAGTCAAGTAGAGGGACCCTCCGGAGGAGCGGATTCACCAGTTTGGGTACCCCCGGTCAACAACAGCTGGGGAACTTCTTCGCGAACAGCGGGCAGACCCACCCACATCTCATGAGCCTTCACCCCCCGTCCCCAGGGGCCCTATACCAGTCTGGGGCATCCAACTGCCAGAAGCCCGGATCCCCCAGTGTACCGTATGCCTAGAGGAGGACCAGCCCTCCAACTACGTTTGCTGTGAGTGCCGGAACAGGCCCGCCTGTTACCGGTGCTCGGAGGTGCTGGTCCTCCAGAGACCACCGTTAGGCTGCTGCCCGCTCTGTCGCCGACGGGATCGGAGACCCCCTATGACCACTACCGTGGCCACCCGCGGAGTCAGGACACCCCCACGGCCTTTAAGACCGCCACCCCCCTACCAGTGAGGACGACAACATCGGACAGTTAGTCCAGCGGGTGCTAAGGGAGTAAACCCTTCCCAAAAAATCGACCCAACGGCTCTTTTAAGAGCCACCAAATGTTTAGAAAAGATGCCTACTTAAACAGTCAATAAAAAGAAACGTATGTCTCTCTCAAGTTATAACACCAGGTCACTTTTTTAAATTTTTATAACTTTTTTAACTTTATAAATTTTTTAAAATCAACTTTGATTTTTTTTAAATTTAACTTTTTTTAACTTTTTAAATTTTTAAATAATAATAATAATAATAATAATAAACCCTTTTTAAAAATAAATTCACATCAAAACACAGACATTTATTTTTTTATTTTTCATCAAAACAACAATAACACATTCATACATACACTTAATACATATGTCGACAAAGAATGTACACCTATTTTTGTCATAAGTGTGTACAAATTGTTTTTCAATATTTTTTTTGTTCAGGTAAATCTACAATCTCTTGGAGCTATTTCTCTGTTTCTCACATCAGATTTAAGAACCCCATATTCTTCATAGTCACCTTGTCTATAAAAGGTTCTTTCCAATTCTGGGGTACTGTGAGACATATCAAAACAAGTTAACCCATGAATCTTTTTGTACATATATCTCTCATGACAGCTGTATTTCATTTGAATGAATCCTCTCACATGATGAAGTTTTCCAGTTTTTGGATGCCTTTCTTTTTGTAAGATCAAGTATTGATAATCACTTCTAATGATTTGATCTACATTTTCCTGTCTGCACCCAGTTAAATCAAATATCCAATTTTTGGCTATTCTAAATCTGTCTATTTTTAAGTTAGCAATATAACCATTGTCTGTATTTTCTTAATGTTTGTTTTGATAATGAGCCGTAATATCTTCCAAGAGTTGAGTTTTGACTTCTTTCATTATTTGTAGACTCTTCTCCTCTGTGGGTTTTAAATCCTGGGTCTTTTTATCAATCTTTTTTCTGACAACTGTTTTCTCTTATCATCTATAAACTTGACTTCTTCTCTAGTCAAAGGTCTTTCAGGGTAATCCAAGTAATTCTTACCCTCTTTTGGTAATAAATGGTTATATTCTTCATTGGCTTCTTCTTCAATCAAGGGTCTTTCTATGTAATCTCTGACAACATTAGGATCACCCTTTTCTGGACATAATTGGTTATATTCTTCTTGAGAAATGATCTCAATAGTGCCATCTTTTTTTATTTTAACTGGTATACCTCTGTCTACATCTTTCTCTGAAAGAACTCTCTGTCCAAACTGAATTTTACTCATTCCTTTACTCTTTTGCTTCCTAAAGGTGTTACCCATGGTTGAGACAACAACAACAGTACTGAATGTTTTTAATTTCACACCTTGAATTTATACTTTTCTGTGAAACAATCATGGGAAAAAAACCCAAATATTAAGAGGAATGTAAGAGTGATTTTTGAAATATTTGTGATATGTATGTATATTTTGCATAAAATTCCATCCTAGTATTTTTAATTTAAGTCCCAAAACATGGTTATGACACACTTTCTGATATTAATTAGGTCTTTTTTTTATCTATTCAATGGTAATATACATAAATATTGATTTTGATTTTTTCAGAACTTTTAATTTATTAGAATACAAATAATCTGGACACTCACATACTTCTCAAACTCTATAACTCATTGAAAGCAATGAGGTAGATAACTATTACTTGTAGGTACAAACTCCTTTCATTTTTTAAAAAAATCCTGGTAGTTTTCTTTTTTTTTCCTGCCAAAGTTTAAATGTGATTTTAGATAACATGTAACTTTGATTTGTCTAAAAGTTAAAAAATCATATTTCATTTTTAACAATACAGAAAAGATGAGGGATACCATTGATCACTATACCTTAAAAATGTCATTTAAATCATTACATTTATTTACATTTTATATATCTCCCCATTTTATACTGAATACTCAACTCCTGTTTTGTGATTTGAAAAATAATATATGGTTAAAGGGGGATAATCGACTTTTCAAAAAGGCTGTTTTTGTTAACAGACCAAAAAATCAAATGGATTTATTCAAGTTAAAAAAAATTCATGGAATTTTTTCTCTGTTTTCTTCATTGTCATTTATCTTCTTACTTTTTTTTTCTCATTTCTTGGTAATACTATAGAATAAAATCTGCATGAGAATGAACTCTCATCATATTCCATTGTTTTCCTGCAAGGTTTTTTTTTCCACTTCATGTTTTGTTGTTGTTGTTGTTTTTTGTTTTTTCTCATAAGAAAAGACAAAGTTTAACATGAAAATCAAAACATGTACCATTTTTTAAAAAGATATAAATATATATTATTTGGTAGAGTTAAAATAAATAATTTCCCTTCACTAATTAATGTCTCATCCCCTCAAGCAAAAAAAAAAACAATATTAAACAATTAAAATGTTTTTAATGTGAGTATAGATGCATCAGTATTTTTTCAAATTTCCTGGAATGATAACTTTTGTACAGCTTAACAATTTTAATCTGTGATATATATTTATATATAAATGTTGTGATTTTTAGTTAAAATTTCAAAGGTCTAGAAAAAATTCTGAAGAGATGTCACTGAGGTTTTCAATTATAAAACACCACTGGCTTCTTCTGGTCCTGGACAATATGTAGAAGGCTGTGTATATGTTTCCTTGACTGATGAACAGAATGTGCTATCTGGAAAAAAAATGTTTTCTTTCAAACAATATTCAAAAAAAAATTACAATGCTGAAAGGATGATTGCACAACATGAAAATACCAATTCATTATCCCCATCTATAAATTTACCTCTGATAAAATAAATTTCCCCTCTGCTAAAATTCCTTTATTTAACTTTCTCCAATTTAGCTTCTATACTCCAAAATGGGGATGGTCAGGTTCAAACTTGGTATGGCCAGGTATTAATCATCTGTTAATCATCTGTTTATGCAGACCTAAAATTGAACAATAATATATTTGAATTGTAGTGTTTTTTTTTTCATTGCTTGCAGAAAAAAAAAGAAAAAGAAAATAATAATAATCATCACTGTTAAAATATGATAATGTAAAGAACTGATATGAAAAGTTGGTCATACAGAATACCCTGTCAGTGTAGCAAAATCTATGTATTAAAGAAAGCAAATTCTACTAAAAACAGATTCTTTGCAAAACAAGTTAATACATCTTCATTTAACTTTGGTATCTTGAACATTAATCTTAAAGTCCTGGATATCTCAGTACATCTAGAATTAGTTTTTTTCTCTCCAAAAAATTAAATGCTACCTGTGATAACTCTTCATAAATAATCCATACCACAGAGCTGTGTTGTTTCTGTTCCTCAGTTAACCAAGCCTCAGTTAACCAAGTGAAATCCCCTTCTTCACCCTAGTCATAGTACTTAAAATACACCATGTAAACTATACACCTCCTCCCTTGCAATTTTTCTCTCCTTCATTCACCAATTAAAATGTCTTATTTCCTGATATGATAATAAAGTACAAGAAATGACTTGAAAATATTTTATTGACAAAAAGTCACCAAGTTAACTTTTGTCTTCTCTTATTGTCATAATTTTTACTAAATAATATTTTTGTCAATGTTCAATTGTGTATCAGTATTTAAGTAATTACCAATGGTTATTTATTTTGCTGTATTCTAATTTAACATTTTTATCTATTAAAAACTGTTATTAACACCAATCAAAGTCTACATTCTCTTCACACATACAATATCGAAACCAAAAAAACCTGAACATGCTGAATTTTCAAAATCCTAGGCATCCTAAAGTAAAGTTAGCAGATCCAATGTACGTGCTGGACATGATTGGTTTGTGTTGCTGGGCATAACTCCCAAGAATAATGGAACTTCCACAGTCATACTGTTGATACCTAAAATTTTAGAGAAATATAACTACCCTATTATCTTAACTGTCTTTTGGTATAGCATTCCTCCAAAGATATGAGTGTGTAACCTTCCTATGGAAGTACACTGCATAAATGATTGTCCTGACCTGATTGTATTCTGACACTTTGGTTTCTCTATACACCTATGTAAAAGACATCTTTTTAAAATACATGGGTGGCCTTATTGATATTGAAAGTACCTTTTGTGAATGAAGATTCATGCGCCAGCCTCCAAAGTATATTTAAACAGGAGAGAAGGTCCACCACAATCCCCATGCACTCATAAGCAGATCTCGGGGGCAGTAGAAACACTCAAGTAGTTTTCTTTCCCCTGTGATATAATGTCAATATTTAATGGAAAATTCAGAAATTTATCAGCACTTAGAGATAAAAACTTACTATCTTTATGGTATTGATTTCCATTATCAGATTTCTTTTTATCCATTTTAAAATAAAAACTTGAAGGAAAAAAAAAACAGAATAAAAATTATATCTCATTGAAAGTTTTTAGTTTCAAGTTTGTTTGTTTTTTTTTATCATAATTGATTCACTGTGTATTTCCGAAGGAAGACCAGCAGCCAGCACGCTTCATTTCATAGAGAATGGATTATAGATGGTTAGGAACAAAACATATCTTCCAGGTTGAGGACTGTATAGAAAATAAAACCATTTTTGTTATTATGACTTAAATAACATGAGACAATGCCTCTTATAAATGTAATGCAAAATGATATCTCTTATACATGGATACCTATACTCTAATCAATTAAATGTTATTCGTAAAATGTATTTTTTAAGACAGATTTATTTAGGATCGACTTTTTAAATGATGACATGAATAGCACGCCATACTTTAACCACATGTCAAAACATTCTCTCAAATTACACAGAAATGGGTTATTTAACATAGCTGACATTAAACATATAGGTGAGCGATAACATAATCACAATCATAAACAATGTGAAACAACTTTAAACGACCTACACGGTGGATTACAAGCCTGTTTCACTGGGGTAAAATCTTGCCGAGATTCGCCATGGCCGCCGAACCCGAACCCGACTGTATAAAAGATGAAGTCATACAATAACATAATACTGAGATTTTTTTAAATTTTATTTCTTAAAAACTATAAGGGGAGTTTACCAAAAAAAAAATTAATAAGAAAAAAATGTAAAGTTATTTTTAAAAAGTTAAAAGTTTTATGAATTTTTATGTCTTTTCTTCTTCTAAAGGAGATCAATATAGTCTTAACATGATCATGACCACCAAGCCCTCTTTATTTTAAAAAATCATATATATTATTTACTTATCAATTCAAAAATATAAACATGCATATGTAAAATAAATAAATTAAAAAAAATTACAATTGTATCTCATTGAAACTTTACCTTCAAGTTTGTGTGTTTCTATGTTGGTTGACTATAACTGTATTTCCAAAGGAAGAGCAGACAGTCTGAACTTCATAGAGAATTGATTATAGATGGTTAGGAACAAAACATATCTTCCATGTTGATGACTGTAGAAATAAAACCATTTTGTTAATATGATAGAGTACTGCATTAAACATAATGACTAGATGCTATGGCGTAAAAGAAGTCGAACATGAGTTATCGTTCATATATCGAGTTATCGTTCATAAGATGCGTAATACGTCATCACTAGAGAACTATTCACTCGTACATGGAATATTCCACATGTGTTAAGATAAACAGAAATAAAATAAATATTCTTTAATCATATTTATTCGATTAGTAGTTTATATTTATTTCATATGTAATTTACAATGGGGTTATTATATATAAATCCCTATGCCGAAAATTGGAAATGTCAGTATATATAAACAATTTATCAATATAAATTAATCATCAAACATGGATTAATTATAGATAATCGTGGATTGATTTTAATGAAAAATAAAAGGAGTTGAGGTATAGTACTTGATATATTTTCTTTCTATATATTTATTTGTATTTCGGTTAATGCAGTTTGGTTGTTATATGTATTGCGAATGGAGAATGCACAGGGGGGGGGGGGTATTACCAACTGGAGACAGGCATCTATCGTTAAATGTGGTCATGTAAGAAACGAAAACCAAAGGTGTTTAAATGCTGCCTAAAGATCCTTGCTCCAATTTTTCACTCATGGGAACACTAACAATTGCCGTTGGAAAGCTGCTCGACACCCTGGGTCATTGAGCAGTGAGGGACCTTTTTCGTGCCAGCACCAACAGCGACAGGGAGGGGTGGAGCGGTTGTTTGACAGAGTTAAGGAGCCAACAACCACACTAAAATTATTGAATTATTAAATCTTATGCATATATTGTCAAGAAAATGGGGCCCTGGTCCCCTCCACAGTGAGGGACCTTTTTCGTGCCAGCACCAACTGCGACAAGGGACCTCGGTTTATACGGTCTCATTGGAGGACCGGTCTCCACGTCCTTCAGAGGGATTCAAACCTGCAACACAAGGATTATCTCCTTAATCCGCGACTTTAAAGCAGACTTTCTTACTACTATTTCACACGGCGACGCAGATTTCAGTGGCGAATCCAGGAATCTTGAAAAGGGAAAAGGGGGAGGGGGAGTGCTGTTGTTTACCAGAGTTAAGAATTTATTAGTGTTAAAATACACAGAAATATAATAAATATTTGTTGATAATATTTATTCGATTGGTAAATTACATTTTATTAAAAATTATTGAATTATTAAATCATATGTATATATTCGACAGAAAAGCGGGCCGGGGTGGGGGAGGGGGGTGTACTACCTGTAAACTAATCCGCCAGTGTAATTGAATGACTATTATACTGAGTTTGTGAGATAGAAATAATTATTTTCTTATTCTAATTAGAAACTTATACCTATACAACAACCACTTGTAAGAAATCTGGTATTGTTTCACATGAATATCCAAGTTAGAGATAAGACTTAATTTCTCACAAAACTCAAGTTTTTTTTTTCCCCGAGGCATATCCTAACGCAATAGAGCAAGGGATACGTAAGTCTACAAAACCTACATTTTTCGCTATTCGGCAGTTACTACTTTTCTGGGTCTGGTATACCTGGTATTTCACACTAGGTAATTCGAGTGAATTTTTTTTTCATGTGATCCAAAGTACAAACATATGACATTAAGCTTACTTTATTAATATTTCTTCACTTAGGGCAGTGATGTTTGTATAATACTTGTTGTAAAATATGTTTTAAAAATTAAAAAAAAATTAATAAAACTAATTATAAAGTCCAAATTACTAGATTTCACTTCTTATCTAATGACCATGTATTGAAGGGCAGCCCCGCGAGAATTCCGAAGCATTTAAGTTATAATGTGTAGCGACCATTTTACGTACCTAATAAATGAATGGTCTGATAGTTTAAATCTTGATAGAATTTTGAAGATGGTATCAAATAATGCTTCACTGAGAATTGTACAAAACTTTGATTTTTTCAATTCAATTCAATTAATTAATTGCACCTTGAATTTTACATTAATTGAAGTTCTATGGGCTGCACATGTTTTATTTAAGATATTGTAAAAAGTTATTTGATTTTCAAACAAATATCTTTGTAAATATTTGAATAAACTATATCTTTATTAAGTTATATACAAAAAATAATGACTCCTTTACCGCAGACACTTTGAGAAATAATAAATTTTCTTCTTTTCATCAAATGCAGATAACTCTTCATAAACGTTTAAGGTGGAATGTCACACCAACTTTTTATTTTATAGATCTTTGAGTCATCCTTTTTAAACAATGGTTTCAGCATGAAAGGCTGATATTAGCTCTTGATTATTTATATTACTTTTTTGGAGTTTGACCCATTTGTCATGAAAATTTTAAACTTTTACTTTGGCCATATCTTTTGAACAGTAGATGCCAAGACATTTATACTTCACATATGTAATCTTTTTTGAAAGACCTTTCATTGGATACCAACAGCCTTGATCCTTTGACGTTGACCTTGTAGATTTCCGTACTTGTGAAGAAACTTTAACCTTGGCTATAACTTTTGAACGGTAGGGGATAGGACTTTCATACTTCATATACATGATCCTTGTGAGAAGTTACTTCATTGGATACCAAGGACTTTGACCCTTTGACCTTTGAGATTGACCTACTTTAAAAAAGAAAACCTTGACCATAACTTTTAAAGTATTATGGCTAGTGCTTTCATACTCAACATATTTAATCCTTGTAAGAAGTTACTTCATTGGATACCAAGAACATTGACCCTTTGACCTTGACGTTGGAGTTTGACAGACTTTTTAAAATAAAAAAACCTTGTTCATAACTTCTGACCGGTTAGGGCTAGCGCTTTCATACTCTATATAAGAATTCTATGTGGCAAGACCTTTCATTTTGATACCAATTACATTGACATTTTGGCCTTGACCTTAGAGATTTTTGTACTTATTAAAAAAAAAAAACTTTAACGTTTGCGTACTTTCAAATTTCACAATTGATTTCCTTTGAGAATACCTTATTTTTGGTACCTATTAATTAAATTTGCATTTAAGAAAAGTTTAATCTTTACTATGTCGCCATACATCAGTGTTACACAAACACATCTTGTTTATTAGGTATTCATATGATGCATTCATTTACAGCAAATTGTTTTAAAAGAAAGCATCTAATTTGAATGTAAATAATCATAATCCTACATGTCATTCATTGCTGCTGATTTATTTCAGATTGAAATTATTACCATGATCTTAAAAGGGTTTTCCTACCTACCTGTAGCTTGTACTAGCTAAAAATTCGACATCGAACTCGGCAAGTTCTTCCCTTTTACGGAGATTTAAAAAATAAGTATAACCTGAAGATATTTCCCAGATCTCAGAGCTTTTCTCACCTACCTGTACTTTGTACCAGATAAAAACGCGGCAAAATATTCGTCATATTCCTACCTGTGTTTCATAGATGCTGATTTATTTTATGCTGAAATTCTTACCCTGGTCTTATTAGGCAACTCCTTATCTGTTACGGAGATTCAAGAGATAAGTTTAACATGAAGATATGTCCCTTATCTCAGAGCTTTCTCTCACCTACCTGTACCTTGTACCAGATAAGAATACAACAATATACTTGTCATATTCTTACCCGTCTTTCATAGATGCTGATTTATTTAATGTTAAAATTCTTACCCAGGTCGTATTAGGCAACTCCTTACCTGTTATGGAGATTCAAAAGATAGGTTTAACATGAAGATATGTCCCTGATCTCAGAGCTTTCTCTCACCAACCTGTACCTTGTACCAGAATAGAATACAGTAAAATATTTGTCATAATCCTACCTGTCATCCATAGTTGCTGATTTATTTAATGCTGAAATTCTTACCCTGGTCTTACTAGGCAACTCCTTACCTGTTATGGAGATTCAAGAGATAAGTTTAACATGAAGATATGACCCTTATCTCAGAGCTTTCTTTCACCTACCTGTACCTTGTACCAGATAAGAATACGACAAAATATTTGTCATATTCTTACCCGTCTTTCATAGACGCTGATTTATTTTATACTGAAATTCTTACCCTGACCTTACTAGGCAACTCCTAGCCTTTTATGGAGATTCAAAAGATAAGTTTAACATGAAGATATGTCCCTGATATCAGAGCTTTCTCTCACCTACCTGTACCTTGTACCAGATAAGAATACGACAAAATATTTGTCATATTCTTACCTGTCTTTCATAGATGCTGATTTATTTTATGCTGAAATTCTTACCCAGGGCGTACTAGGCAACTCCTTACCTGTTATGGAGATTCAAAAGATAGGTTTAACATGAAGATATGTCCCTGATCTCAGAGCTTTCTCTCACCTACCTGTACCTTGTAACAAATAAGAATACCTTACCCGTCTTTCATAGTATTTATTTAATGCTGAAATTCTTACCCTGTACCAGACAACTCCTTACCTGTTATGGGGATTCAAAAGAAAGGTTTAACATGAAGATATGTCCCTGATCTCAGAGCTTTCTCTCACCTACCTGTACCTTGTACCAGATAAGAATAGATATTTGTCATATTCCTACCCGTCTTTCATAGACGCTGATTTATTTTATACTGAAATTCTTACCCTGACCTTACTAGGCAACTCTTAGCCTTTTATGGAGTTTCAAAAGATAAGTTTAACATGAAGATATGTCCCTGATATCAGAGCTTTCTCTCACCTACCTGTACCTTGTACCAGATAAGAATACGACAAAATATTTGTCATATTCTTACCTGTCTTTCATAGATACTGATTTATTTTATGCTGAAATTCTTACCCAGGTCGTACTAGGCAACTCCTTACCTGTTATGAAGATTCAAAAGATAAGTTTAACATGAAGATATGTCCCTTATCTCAGAGCTTTCTCTCACCTACCTGTACCTTGTACCAGATAAGAATACGACAAAATATTTGTCATATTCTTACCTGTCTTTCATAGATACTGATTTATTTTATGCTGAAATTCTTACCCACGTCGTACTAGGCAACTCCTTACCTGTTATGAAGATTCAAAAGATAGGTA